TACCAAATTCTGCCAGCAGTGCCCATTGGCGTTCTACATAGGACAACCAGAACAGTCTCTGTACAAGAGAATAAATAGATATGAATTTGATATTAGAAATGACAGTACACAAAAATGAGTGTCAGAGTACTTTGGTTTCCTAGGATACTCTAACTGATCTCAGAGTCACTGTTCAAGGGAAGACTAGAAAAAGTAAAGGCTGAATTTGGATGTGTTAGCAAATTCTAATCTATTAGCAGACATTTGAACAGAGATAATAGCCTTTTAGCACCCCGGGAGATGCTTTTTCTCATTACAGTTGTATAGGATGTATATATAAAAAAAGTGTTATGTATTGCTTCCACACTTCAGAGACAATTAAGAGCCCAATAGATTATTAGACCTCACTATTATATTATGTTAAATGTAACTATTGTCTTTCTGCATCTCATTACCACAACAGTTGCATGTTTATGGCACTGTTTTTCCCCAGCTGTAATTTTATACCCTTCTCCAACAATTTATTTTTTCATTCAGTCCTTTCACAGAACTTTGATAATGTTGGATATACTTGTCACTCACTTATGTCCTTTTAACAGTTCTTAATGTCTGTCATTAAGATTTGTCCTTGTCACCTCATCACCACGCCAACATGTTTTGAATTTCTGCTACATTTCACATACATAACACACACACATTCACTTCATACATCTGAAGAAGTGAGCTGTAGTCCATGTAAACTTAATGCTGAAATATTTAGTCTTAAAGATGCTACAAGATTCCTTTTAGAGGGAGAAATTTGGAATGCTACAAGATTCCTTTTGGAGAGAGGAATAAAGAAATAACCTTTGGAAATCATTATACTGCATCTGCTTTCCAAGGTTATTTCTTTATTCTTCTGAATTGTTTGTTGCATTCCAGTGAATGTACATGGGTTCTGTTATTACAACAGTAGACTTAACATGAGTAGAGCACTGTGGATGCAGAATCAGTGAATCTGTGTCTTGAAAGGATCTTTATCTATATTGGAATAGGCAACCTAAGGCCCGGGGGCTGGATGCCCCCCCCCCGAAGCCTTTGGACCATCCCCAAGCCAGTCTTGCCGCCTCTGTCGCCGCCCGCCATGATGATATTGATTATTGTTGTTATTACTTGTTCTTGGGGTTTTCTTGGCAAAATCTCCACAGAGGTTTTGCCATGGCTTTTCTGGGGCTGAGAGAGTGTGCATTTATTTATTTATTTATTTATTTATTTATTGTGCTTTGGCCCCCCAATTGTCTGAGGGACAGCAACCCAGCCCCCGGCTCAAAAAGGCTGCCTACCCCTGATCTATATATTGAAGCTTCTCTTTGGTTTTTTAGTGTTGAAGATTTACTTCCAGTTGGAAACACCTGTGATTGCTAGCATCGTAATGTTAGCTGATAGAAATTACTTTTGCTTGGAATGTTATGTTCACCTACAAAATTCAAAATATTCAAATCTTTTACTAAAAAATGTAAATTTTAAAATTAATTTATAATGCTTAATGAAATGCCTGTGTGCACATGATAACCTTTGATATCTAAGTACTTTGTAAGAGAAGAAACCATGGATGACAGGAAAAAAAACTACAAACAATAAAGAAAAGAAGAGAATGAAAACCAAAGGGAGATAGGTACAAACTAAGAATTATGAATTCAACTGAACAATGGCTTGTGCACAAAGATAAGAAAATTACTACAATGACCAATGCAGAGAAATAGAAGACAACAACAAAAAGGGAAGAACAAGAAATCTATTTCACAAGATCCGAGAAATCAAAGGAAAATTCAAACCAAGGACTGGCATGCTCTTATGACAATAAAAATAACATAATTCAAGACCAGGAAGGAATAAAAAGACATTGGATGCAATACACAGAAGAATTATACAAAAGAGATGACAAAATCAAGGACGCATGGAATGAAGAGCCATATGAATATGAACCCTACATTCTAAAAAAATGAGGTGGAAACTGCAGTAAGAGAAATAGCAAAAAACAAATGACCAGGAACAGATGATATTCCAATTGAATTGCTACAGTCCACATTGACAGAGTTAACTCTAGTGCTAACCAACATATGTCAACAGATGTGGAAAACAAAACAATGGCCAACAGATTTGGAAATGATCAATTTACATTTCTATCCACTAGAAGGGAGACACAAGAGACTGCAGCAACTATAGCACCATAGCACTGATCTCCCATGCAAGCAAAATTATGCTCAAAGTTCTGCAACCATACATGGAGAGAGAAATCCTAGAGGTCCAAGTGGGGTTCAGGAAAGCAAGAGGCACTAGGGATCACATTGCAAACATACGATGGCTAATGGAACACATTAGGGAATTCCAAAAGAAAATCAGCATGTGCTTTATAGACTATAGCAAAGCCTTTGACTGCATAGATCATAAAAGGATGTGGAATGCCCTTAAAAACATGGGAGTGCCATAGTTCTGATGAGTAATTTGTACTCAGGATGACAAGAGGCTACTAACAGAACAGAAAACAGAGAAACAGAATTGGCAAAGGAGTCAGGCAAGGTTGCATACTTTCACCCTATCTGTT